CATTTTTAAATCATTTCAATCACATATTGATATGTGAGAATAAATGCTAATACATGTTTTAATAGACTCCAGCATCAGCACAATCTACTTTCCTCTCTATATTAAGCCCTCCATGTCCAACCATAGAGAGACACATATTTATGGCTACCCCTTTGGTCAATATGGATTTTTTTTTCCTGGGCATCTAGGGCGTCTGCGTACAGTTTGTGCACTACACAAAAGCACCAGCAGGGGAACAGAGTGGAAACGACATTTAACCCAGGTTTTACTCACCATCCACAAGCCCTGGCCTATCCACCAGAGAAAAAGATTACCTATCGCCAAAAGTGTCCCTAAATTGTGCATTGATCAGGTGGTCTGATTGTGTCTATCAAGATGGGGCACTTTTATCTACTTCACGTGAAGTGCGGCATGGGATAATTGTACCTGAGGAAAATAGGAACAATACTCACCTTTACCAGCAGGCTCTATTTGGTAGATTAATCCAACTGCTTAAATTTCATGAAAGTTCACATTTTAATATACCAAAGCTACACTGTATCCTCACTGAAATATACAAAAAGGCTTGGCAGTTTAGGGGAGAAAGAGAGAGAGAGAGAAAAGAAGGGCTCACCAAAACCTTTAAGTAGGTTTTACAACATATCCACACCTCTTTTTTTCCCCTCAAAACTATAATAACAGGAGATAATCATCAGTACTTTTACATTGTATTGTTTACAATAAATTGCTGTAGGAAAGTGAACACTGCAGGCTGACATTTGTCTATTTCAGTTTTATGTTTAGATAGATGGAATACTCATCCTGTCTTCCATCGTAAGTCATGGCCTCTTTATAGATAATCAACTGCTATTCATCTAAGGCATTCTTATCTCACTATAATTTTATAGTATCTACTGTGCTGTGACTCCTGATTAGATCATGAATAAACTATATTTTATTCTATGCATTATTAGAATTAATGAGTGGACATAGATAAGCCCTTTAGTGTTTATGTCCTGACATATAATAGAACTTAATAAATGCTAGACACCCTTCTTTCCTGTTTCTCAGAGAAAGGCAATATTTTTTATTCTTGATAAATTTACCCATCAGAGGATTTTTTTTTTTTTTTCAGATTTAGTATGAAAAACAGCTTTGCTTCTTCTGAGGAATTAATTTCTTTTTATTTTACAGATACTGTATACCTCTTAAGAATGCCCTGTCTGTTCCCCACCCATTGGCTACTAACACGCTTAGAGCTAGACATACGATGAACTGCATCGAACAGTATGACATGCTTTTCTGTCTAGGAATTCTTTCCCTAATTTATAGTAATACCTTTATCCCTATTTCCTTTTATGTTAATTTTATCTCATTTTAAAGATATTTTAAAATTTCCTTAAATCTCTACTTGAAATAAGATGGAAATAAAGAAGCGAATTCAAAAGTTATACTTATTTTACACTTGTTATTTTTAATACTATGGAAAAGAAAATATATTGAAGTGATAATGTAAACCTTTGAATAAAAGATTAAATAGCACATTCATTTTTAGTTTAAAAATACTCAGAGAAGTTCCAAATGCCATGTATACAAGCAGTGGAGCACTCAACCCTCTTCTGTTAAAATGATGCTTTCTTTCTTAATACACTACACCATCATTTTACTAAAGCTTGTTTTTGCGTACCCTAATCATTTCTTCTAGTTGTTTACAAATTGTTTTAATTTAAAAGAAATGATATATGTGTTCCGAAAGATACAGCTATCTCCTCCCAAAAGCTCCACCTCTAAATAACATCATGTTGGGAATTAGGTTTCAACAAAAGAATTGGGGAAACATAAACATTCACTCTGCAACAACGACTGTCGGGAATAAGGTGTTGACTACACAGACTTTTTGACCAAAGACATTTATAATGAAAAAGGAATTATAAAGATGCATTGTGGAAAGGCTAGAGACTGAAACTCAATTTCTTCTACTAGCCCAGTGTTTCTTGAACCTAGTGTGCACCAGAAGCTTCTGGAGGGCTTGTTAAAACACAGATTGCTGGGCCCCACGCCCAGAATTTTTGACACGGTAGGTCTGTGGCAAAGCCTGGGAATCTACATTTCTAACAAGTTCCAAGATGATACCGATGCTGCTTGATGATGACCACATTTCAGAACCGCTGTACTAACCCACCATCTCGCATCCCACTTTGGCTACTCTCCTTGCCCCATGTGCACCTGTTTCAGGAGCTCTGAGCAGCACAAACCAGAAAAGTCCCTCCAATAATAGAAATGAATTTTCAGGATTCTTTGTCTTAAAGAGGTCTCCAGATGCAGCCTTGAATAGTAGACCATGTCTCTTGGCCATCCCAGACACCTCATTTTAGGAGTTTTCATAGGTAATATTATAGAAATAAGTATTCAGCAGAGAAGAGTTTGAGAAAGCATCTCTCTTCTACTCACTAAATAAATGCCCCGTAGAACATACTCCAGGAAACTGCAGTCTACAGCTCATGGTAGAACTGTGTAAATGTTTCAATTCACCAGTTTTTCAAACTTTTATTTGACATAGAATTCTTTTCTCAAATGAAATCTTGCCCAGAACACCAGCCTATAAAACAGATTCTTGGTGGAACAGACATCATTTGTAGAATACCTGAAGCACCTGGAGAATCCTAAGATTCCAAAGAGCACAGTTTGAAACCCCATTTAATGCATGATAAACACAGACTCTTGTGATGGATGCTCTTGCTGGAAGGTATCTTTGAAGCCTAATTTATAACGCTTGTCCTTAGACCAGTGCTCTTTTCCTCACTCCTTTTTAAAAAATGAACACAGAAGTGTGTGGAAATGCAAGGACAGGTTCCTTTTCAGCGATCTCGTCACAGAGAGAATTTCCATACTCAGTATTTTAAAATTGACTTAATATGACTGTCTTATCAGCAACGCAGAGCTTGTCTTTTCAGCTTCCAAGTGTTATGCTGTACATTATATTTTTTACCTCTTAACTGAATATGGTTTGACCCACTTCATTATTTGTGTTTTTTCCTTTTGAGTTTAGAAACACCATGCTTTAATTACTGTGCCCCCCAAAAAGAAATATAATATAGAGAAATATGTCACATTTCCCTGTTTGTCACTGACTGTGGTCTCGTCTGCATCTCTGTTTCCCAGCAAGAACACCCATGGCAAAATACATTTCATTTGGAAATGGTGGTAAGGAGCAGATGCTCAATGCCATGTATGCATGTGGCATTTTTGTTTACTAATTTACAGAATTTGTTTTACTCCCTGCAGCTGTAAATGAAAAAGCTGTAAAACTAAATGAAACTCTAGGAACTCAAGACAAAGCTTTTGAGAGAAATTTGCAAAGGCTTCAGAAGGAGATTGATCAGATGATGAAAGAACTGAGGAAGAAAAATCTAGATACGCAAAAGGAAGTTGCTGAAGATGAGTTGGTGTGAGTAGATGCTCTGTTGTTTATTCATGTGATGAACTGAGATTGCCAAATAATTTACCGTTTTCTAAAATTTCATTACACATATGAACGGAAGATACTTTGTTTTTCTGACCTGGAGAGGTTTGCTGTTTATTTATTTTCATTTATTTGTATAGTTATACTTTATCTTGCTCTAAAATGAATCAAAAAGTGTTCTTGCCTGTATAAATAATCACATAAATGGTCTTTTCTGGTGCTGTCCCTTCTGTAATTAGGCTAATGGGCTTTCTTTATTAATAACCTGTATTAGGGACTTCTAAACTATCAGATTTTTATTTTAATAAAAATACCCTTGGATAAATAAATTTGTAACTTTACTTTCATTTGTAGGTCAGTCTATACATTTTATCATCTTAAGAAATGCTGAAAAGAAGAATTATCAAATAATAAACACCTAATACCTTGAAATAAGGGTTGAGAATTTGAGGGTTGGGAAAAGTGATAATGATTTTACCAATGCTAAAGAACCTTTATGATAACACACTCAATAAAATAGATACATGTTTACATTTATGGTCAGCTAACTTCTAAGTGATAATGTTATTAATCTTAAATAATATATACTAAACCAGCAATATCAGAAACACCTGAGAGCTAGTTAAAAATATAAATTATTAGACCCCATCCCAGACCTACTAAATGAGAAACTTTGGACATTGGGCCCAGCAATCTGTGTTTTTACAAGCCCTTCAGTAGATTATGATGCATGATAGTTTGAGAACTACTGTTTTTCAAGTATTTAGCCATTCTTAAGGGCCCAGATGTTATCGCTTTAGGGTAAGCAGGTAAGTTAAACCCAAGAAACTCTAAGATCAGTTGAAAGAAAAAGAAAAGTAAATTAAAATAATAAAATTACACTAGCATGGCAATAATATAGAGTTCTGTTCACAGTTTCTAAGCAAACATATCAATATTCATCCCTCAAAATAGTAGAGAAAATATCTCATTCTGGTGAAAACAGGTGAGATTTTTTTTCTTTGTTTAGATGTGTGAGGTGAATCGCAAAACTCATTTCATCAGTCAGATCTTGAGAATGAC